TCGAGTAGCTGGGATTACAGATGCCTGTCACCATGCCTGGCTAATTTTTTGTATTTTTAGTGGAGACGCGGTTTGACCATGTTGGCTAGGCTGGTCTCAAACCCCTGAACTTATGATCTGCCCACCTTGGCCTCCCAAAGTGGTGGGATTACAGGCGTGAGCCATGGTACTCTGTCAATTTTTGCATATACTGTGAGGCAAGGTTCCAACTTCATTCTTTTGCATGATAATATCCAGTTTTCTCAGCACTACTGTTTTTGCTTTTTTTTTTTTTGAGATTGTTGTCTTGCTCTGTTGCTAGACTGGAGTGCAGTAGCGTGATCTTGGCTCACTGCACCCTCTGCCTCCCAGGTTTAAGCGATTCCCTTGCCTCAGCTTCCTGAGTAGATGGGACTGCAGGCATGTACCACCACACCTACCTAAGTTTTTATATTTTAGTAGAGATGGGATTTCACCATGTTGGCCAGGATGGTCTTGATCTCCTGACCTTGTGATCTGCCTGCCTTGGCCTCCCAAAGTGCTGGGATTACAGGTGTGAGCCACCGAGTCTGGCCTCAGCACTACTTTTTTTGTTTCATTTTGTTTTGTTTTTTTGAGACAGAGTCTTGCTCTGTTGATCAGGCTGGAGGACAATAGCACTATCTCAGCTCACTGTAACCTCTGCCTCTTGGATTTAAGCAGTTCTCCTGCCTCAGCCTCCCAAGTAGCTGGGATTATAGGTGCACACCACCGTGCACGGCTAATTTTTGTATTTTAGTAGAAATAGGGTTTCACCACATTGGCCAGCCTGGTCTCGAACTCCTCACCTCAAGTGATCTGTCTGTCTTGGCCTCCTAAAGTGCCGGGATTACAGGTATGAGCCACTGAGCCCAGGCAGCACTACTTACTGAGAATACTTTTTTCCTATTGAATGGTCTTGGTACCATTCTGGTCTTGTTCATGGCTAGTGTCTATGTTTGTTGAAAATTGATCATAAATGTGAGTGCTGATTGCTGGATTATCAGTTCTATTGTATTTGTCTATATGTTGAGCCTTATGTCAGTGTCACGCTGTTCCAATTACTGTAGCTTTATAGCAAGTTTTGAAATCACAAGTGTGATTTTTTCAACTTTGTTTTTTTTCCCCCAGTATTGTTGTGGCTATTCAAGGTCCCTTGCAATTACATACGAATTTTAGAATTAACATGTCCCTTTCTGCAAAAGATGTCATTGAGACTTTTTTTTTTTTTTTTGAGACAGAGTCTCACTCTGTCACCCAGGCTGGAGTGCAAGTAGAATGATCTTGGCCCACTGCAACTTCACCTCCTGGGTTCAGGTGATTCTTGTGCCTCAGTCTCCCAATTAGCTGGGACTACAGGTGCTCACCACCACGCCCAGCTAACTTTTTTGTATTTTCTTTTATTTTTAATTCAATTTTATTTTTTTAATTGCATTTTAGGTTTTGGGGTACATGTGAAGAACATGCAAGATTGTTGCATAGGTACACACATGGCAGTGTGATTTGCTGCTTTCCTCCCCATCACCTATATCTGGCATTGTATTTTCAATTGCTATGGGGTTTCACCATGTTGGCCAGGCTGGTCTCGAACTCTTGACCTTAGATGATTGACCTGCCTTGGCCTCCCAAAGTTTTGGCATTACAGGTGTGAGCCACTGCACCCAGCCTTTTTTTTTTTTTTTTGAGACGGAGTCTCTGTCGCTCCCAGGCTGGAGTGCAGTGCATGATCTCTGCTTACTGCAACCTCCACCTCTTGGGTTCAGGCGATTCGCCCTCCTCAGTCTCCCAGGTAGCTGGGATTACAGGCGTCCGCCACTGTGGTTGGCTGTTTCATATTTTTAGTAGAGATGGGGTTTCACCATATTGGTCAGGCTGGTCTTGAACTCCGAAACTCAGGTGATATGCCCACCGCAACCTCCCAAAGTGCTGGGATTATAGGGCGAGTCACCGAGCCCAGTCAGTCATTGGGATATTTATTTTTATTTTTTATTTTTTTTCCTTTTTTTAAAAAATTTATTTTCGACCCTTGGTCCTAAACCAATCATTGGGATTTTTATAGTGATTGTATTGAATTTGTAGACCACGTTGGAGAGTATTACCTATTACCATCTTGATACTAAGCCTTCTAATCGTGAACACAGAATATTTTTTTGTTTACTTATTTAAAATTTAGGTCATCTTTAATTGACTCCAGCAATGTTTTGTAGTTTTCAGTGTACAAGTCTTGTATTTGTGCCTTTTTTGTTGTTGAGGCAGGGTCCCACTAAATCTTCCAGGCTAGAGTGCAGTGGTGCGATCTCGGCTCACTGCAGCCTCAACTTTCTGGGTTCAGGTAATTCTCCCACCGCAGCCTCCTGAGTAGCTGGGAGTACAGGTGCACACCACCACGCCTGGCTAATTTTTTGCATTTTTTTAAAGACTAGATTTTGCCATGTTGCCCCAGCTGGACTTGAATTCCTGAGCTAAAGCAGTCTACCCACCTTGGCCTTCCAAAGTTCTGGGATTGCAGGTGTGAGCCACCCTTCCCGGCCTTGTGCCTTTTAAGTTAAATTTGCTTCTAATTGTTTTATTATTTTTGGTGCTGTTGTAAATTGTTCTCTTACTTTCATACTGTTTATTGCTAGTGTATAGCAGTACAATTGATTTTTGTGTGTTGTTCTTCTACCCTGCAACTTTGCTGAATTCATTTATTCTAATAATTTTTATGTGGATTATTTAGGCTTTTCTGTATATAGGATTATGTCATCTGGGAATAAATTATAATTTTACTTCTTCCTTTTCAACTTGGATACTTTATATTTCTTTTTCTTGTCTGCTTACTCTGGCTAGGACTCCAGTACAGTGTGGTTTTTTTGTTTTGTTTTTTGAGACAGTCTCACTCTGTTGCCCAGGCTGGACTGCAGTGGCGCAATCTTGGCTCATTGCAACCTCTGCCTCTTTGGTTCAAGCAATTCTCATGCCTCAGCCTCCTGAGTAGCTGGGATTACAGGCACGTGCCACCACACCTGGCTGATTTTTATATTTTTAGTAGAGACGGGATTTCACCACGTTGGCCAGGCTGATCTCTAACTCCTGACCTTGTGATCCAAATGCCTTGGCCTCCCAAAGTGGTGGGATTACAGGCGTGAGCCACCGTGCCCGGCCGGTTTTATGGTAGATATCTTTAGAAGAGTTCATTTTAGATCAGCTAGTAGTTCGTTTATGGTGTGAAACTGTTTTTATGGAATAGTTGCTGTTTCTGAGAAGATACACATTTTGCGTGGCAGAATATGACATTTTGATTTTAAGGCTACTTTTATAAGGAAGTTGATGCTATAAACTGTCAAAAACATTTGCATCTCATTTATCCCTTTTGTATCTCCTTATAAGCCTCTCTTATGTGGGTGTCTTATGTGGTCCTCCAAAGCTCACCTCAGGTCCCTGCCCTTCTGCATCCCTGGTTTGACCTCTCAACCCAGCCAACCTTCTCTGCCTCTCTTCTGGCCTCTTCCTGTCAGGAAATCAGCTGTGAGAGAGGTTAGGAAACTTGAAGGATAGATGAGTAATGTTTCTTCTCAACTTTCATGCTGGCAGTAGTGTCCATTTTATTTCTTGGCCTTCCCTTAAGAATTAACAGGGCTGGGGCCGGGCGCGGTGGCTCAAGCCTATAATCCCAGCACTTTGGGAGGCCGAGGCGGGTGGATCACGAGGTCAAGAGATCGAGACCATCCTGGTCAACATGGTGAAACCCCGTCTCTACTAAAACTACAAAAAATTAGCTG